GGTCCTTTTCTGCTGGGCAGCTTTCCAGCCACTCTTCCCCAAGCCTGTAGCGCTGCATGGGGTTGTTGTGGCCGAAGTGCAGGACCCAGCACTTGGCCTTGTTGAATCTCATACAGTTGGCCTGGGCCCATCGATCCAGCCTGTCCAGGTCCCTCTGCAGAGCCTTCCTACCCTCCAGCAGATCAACACTGCCGCCCAACTTGGTGTCGTCTGCAAACTTACTGAGGGTGCACTCGATCCCCTCGTCCAGATCATTGATAAAGATATTGAACAAGACCGGCCCCAAAACTGAGCCCTGGGGAACACCGCTCGTGACCGGCCGCCAACTGGATTGAACTCCATTCACCACAACTCTCTGGGCCCGGCCGTCCAGCCAGTTTTTTACCCAGCAAAGAGTACACCTGTCTAAGCCGTGAGCCACCAATTGCTTACCTATGTCCTGGAGAATAAACAAGTGCAGGCTCAAATTAAGGTGTTGCAAAGCAGATGAGAGTTTTATAAGGTGAGAAGTAGCGTGAAGGGGGGCGGACGCCTCATGCCTGAGGTGGAAGTTTTTTACCTGGCCTTCTGTATGTAAATTCAGAGAGCGGTTAATGCTCAATTTAGAGTCCAGCTGATGCTTGTGGAAGTAACAGTTTACCAAACTAACTCAGCATGGCTCATCTCTCATAGGTCAGGTTAGACAGTGGTACTTATTTTTGGTCTTCTTCAGTAGAAGAATATACCCTGAAGATATAAAAATTACTGCCAATCATGTGGCAGACTAGATTTTCACACCCTTCCGTAGCTGTGCTGATTTGCAACCATAACGACAAGAAGTGAGAATGAACGACGAGGGTAAAGATTAGATGACAGTTCCAAGATGGATGGAACCAGTGAAAAGCAGAGGATTCTCATGCTTTCAATTTCTATTAGGTTGCTGTACAGTTTTCAAGGCAACTTTTCTATCCTTGCAAAAGCCCTGACTTAAGGCTTTTTATGAGCAAGTCTGAAGTACAGTAAATCCCATAATACTATAATTTTCTCCAGCATCTTGTACTTTGTAACTTTGGGGATTTCAGAAGTGAAGATTTAATTTTTTTAAGTTTTATTGTAATGAATTTAAAAAGTACACTTCAGCAGCTTGCATGGGTTTATTATGTAAAGACCATACAGTGACTATCAGGCAGGTGATAACAGAACAAATTTCTTGCTTGAATAACTCCTTTGAGTTTATTTCAAGGAGCCCTTTAAAGGTGTGGGATGGCCAATGCAATCCTACAGAGGACTCTAGCGTAAAACTTCCAGGGCAGAGCAACTGATAACTTGATTCCAAAACTGAACAGAACTGCAAACTTTATCAAAACAGTGCACAAATCTCCTGTTGGTGCCTAGTTTTTCTAGAGACATGGCTGACCATACGTAGAGCACAGGAGTTTTGGAAGAATTAGTGGATGCCTAGACAGGTGAGCAGAATACATGGCCTCCAGCACAGGGCAGGTACCACATATCTTAAAAATTAAACAGGATATCCTGTATCTAGGCTGATATCTAGAGAGGGCTTTGGACCCAAATGGGAGTGCAGAGACGAAGGATGGATGGTTATTATCCATCTATCTGGAGGCTATCTGGAGGAAGCAGAATTTAACGGCTTGGCAGGATATGACTGGAGTGGACAAGAAAGCAGAGGAAAGTAGTGTGGGACAGAGAGACAGGAATAACAAGTAATGGTGGTCATACAACTGTTTAGAAAGAAGCTGGAGAAAAGTCAGGAAGCATAAATGCTGAGGACCATCAGTCAGTGGATTTGTTCCACCTTTCTACCTGTTGATGCTGGTTTTGAAAATTGGGCAATCAGCCCATTCTGTGTCTAGGTTCCTTGTTCCTCGGGGACGTGCAAATTCTCAAGATACTGTCGTTTAACAATCAGGGCTCTTGAAACATGCTGAATGCAACCATCTGCTAGCGCTTCCCTAAACAAAATGTCACTCCTGTGCTATGTTTAGTCTTCTCTGGTGGAATTTCAAGTCTGGGAGCAACCTTCCAACCTTTGATAGCAATGCGAGGCAACAGCTGAGAAGAAAAAAGTTCTGAAGTATACTAATAATGACAAACTGTTTAATATATTTGGACCTTTTACAAGGTAGCAAGGTACTCATTTTGTCTTAATTTTATGACAAAATCTGTCAATATTTTGCCCTTTCAAAGCTGGGGAAATGGTGATCCTAGCAAGCTACAGCCAAAGCAAGATAAAAAGCAGTTTGGGTTTGAAATCCCATTTCAGAATCCTTTTGAACAAGATGCACAGCTCTCCAATCTGTGTACTTCCATTTTGTCGGGCCTTTCTTTATATCCATTCCTAACTACTGCTTAAGGTTTTGGAAATGCATAAAGGCCTGTGGGTGCATTGAAGTGTATCTCTGTAGAATTAATTGCGAGTGTTTGGTTGCATCTTTGAAAACCTACTCCTTAACCGATATCTGTCCTGCAGTTTCTTTCTTGACTATGTACGGAGTCCTGATATGCATCTGTATCTCCTATTTGTTTTGTTACCTGAAATACAATGGAGAAGGCAACTACATTCAGGACTTCATTCTACTTACCACATTTCCACAACCCTTGGGGTCCCTGCCAAGACCATGACTTCCACTAGATACTACCAGGCAAATCTGACCTCTAAATACAAATGTGTTTACATCTGTTACTCTTCCAAGAAAGGTATGCAAATCTGTCTAGAAGCCGCAACTGTCCATTCTGCAGTTAAATAATGTGATTTAAAAACTGTTAGTAGGACATACTTTGCTTTCTTCATGAGAAGTTTTTCCGACTCGGGATAGTGCACTAAGATTTCATTGAGTGTTTTCTTGTCCAGAATGAAAAGGTTGGCAAAACCATGAGCAACCACGTCGGCAGTTCTTCGATTTCCTCCACCTGCAGCTAATAAGCTGGAATGAAAATAAACATCATCAGTCTGATCGTTACTTGCCCTCGTGAGGAATCTCTTTGCTGGTTCTCCATTAAAGTCATCGTAAAGCTCACTTACGTACCCTGATGTTCTGTAAAGTCCCTTTGCAGTTGGGGTTAGAAATATTGTCTTGCCTCAGGAAGGCAAATTGTCGCTACTGGTCAGGCGTATGTAGATGCTAAGGACTGTGAAAGTCTTGCTAGATAGAGACATTTCTCCCAAGAGACACCCACTGCAAGGACTGCGTTTGTTTTAGTCCTCGTGTGAACTTGGCATTTCCTCAATTTTATTGTTGAAAATTATTTATATCAGAAATAGAGCAGCACAAGTCCGTTATTTTTGAAAGAGTTATTTACAATGAATGACTGATTCTCCCAGAATTTTAATTGTCCTGAGTGAATAACTTCTGTGGGACTCTGGTTTTCAGTTTTCTCACATACCACATCTCACGTTTGAATGTTGGCAAGTTGAATGATATGGATTAGGAAGGTCTTTCAAGCTGACAGTTACAAATGTGTCCGCTAGAAAAAGAAGGCTATTTTGTTTTGAAAATAAAGCCTTAGACCAGTTTAGCAAGCACCAGCTGGCCATAGGAGGGCTATCCACATAAAAATTAGATGTTGTACAAATAAAAATTAAATTGTTCATCTTGCATTAAGCAAATGAAATTAAGAAACTTCACTTCTCAGCTGTGGTAATAAGCAAGAGAAGTTGCATTTTGCTCTTAGGACTAAAATTGCTTTATCACTGTATTCAAGGAGATCTACCCTAAAATTTGTCCCTTAAATATTTCCCAGTGAGTTAATATTTTTAGAGAATACTTAGTAATCTCTAAATTTAAAAGTTATTAATAAAGGATAGTCTGGACCCCATAAAACATGATTTAATACTTATCCAAAATATTAATCAAGGATATATAAATATTGGTTGTAATATTAAATACATTTGTAGAACATATTTATAAATATTAGATCATACAGATAACGTTATATTTTATTTATAAAGGATAGTATGAGACCTCTGCAACTGTGTGTACAAGGCTATTTTTACACACTTACACACACACACACACAGAGTGTTTTTCTGCAACCCAAGATAGCAATCAATATATGAACTGAAGCTGAAAATGCAGTATATCATCTTCTTTTTAAACAATTCTGTACAATTCCTCAGATAGAATAAAATTATTTGCACAATAAGAAAAGCAACTAAAGAAAATTGCAAACAGCTTTTGAGTTCTGATGAGAATCACTTCTCAACAACTCATTGAACAATCATTTTCAGGCTTTCCTAACAGAAAGCTCATTTTATCGAGGCAGACTAGGACTAAAGGGATCAACTTTTTCATTATGGTGATGATGTGAGGTGAATTTTACAAGTAAGGCAATCCTTGCCCAAACAGAATCTTCTTTGACTAAGGACAGCGTTATGGACTTCATCATTGAATCTGTTTTGGCTAGTGTGCTAAGAGTTATGTGATAGACCAAATTTAAAAAAATAACTACATTTGCCTTGCAATGGTTCTTGGTAACGTAATATCTATATTAATAGAGAAATTTGCTTTTTTTACCTTACATTTTTTACTCCAGTTTTTAGCCTGAAATGCTGTAATATTAGTATGAGATGATAACTTTTGAATTCTTATGCTGGCAAATTTAATTTAGAGGTATAAAGTTGTCAGAGTGATGACTCAGCTGATCTCTTTAGGAAGCTGCTGTTCATTGAAATTAGCAAGTTGATCCAGGGAATGGTGTGCGTATCAGCTGAACATGCAGGGTTGTGCCGGCTCAGCTCGGCACCTATGTGCTTATGGAGGGAACTGGTAAGTCAGGAAAGGGAAACAGGTCTGGATCTTGCTTCTGAGCAGGATGTCAAACACCTAAGGGCAGAGCTCATTGAAAAGCAGCAGCTGCCTCTTTGTGGGAAATCCTGGGCCAAAGTGGAAAATGTAATCTTTCACAAAGATAAATACTCCCTTTAATTTTTATTTTTTTAAATAAAAGTTAAAGTTACAAAACAGCTGAAAGGCTAAAGACGAGATCAAACATTTAGAGATCTTCCTGTCAAAAATTTACATATAATGGAGAAATATTTTTATTTTTCCAGAATTACCATTTTCTGTTAAGAAATTGTTCTAGTGAAATAACAGTAAATGGATGAATGAGGACATCTGGCTTAAAGTGTAAATTTCTCTGGGCTAATGAAGTGTTGTGTTATAGTTGAATTTCTCTCTTTCCCAATTGTCTGTGCAGACAGGCTCTCATTAAGGCAGCAATCTGTTTGCCTGTGATTCTGAGATTATTTTGCTTCCCCAAACTGATATTATCTATACAGGAAGGTAGTAATGAGTGGAAGATGTTAATTGGAAGGCAACTCCTATTTCTTAATCTGTTTCTGTAATAATTTTCAAGGATGAAATAGGAAAAGGACTTGTTTGACATTAGTCTTGCATTAGCCTTCTAGTATAATTCAGGGAAATTTTTTGAAATAAACGTTTTTTCTTTTCTTCAACTCCTTTGCCCTCAGAGACTTTTTAAGCATCATTTACATGCATTTTGAACAGAGTGAAATTAAATAGCAAGTGTCTTATAAATCATGCAGTTAAGCCACTCGGAATGAAGCTGACATATTGCTCTAAACAAATCTTGAATCAGAAATCAGAAGGAAATCAGCCTGATATGAGGTGATAACCATACTATGAATACTGAGGGGAAAACTTGGTTGTGCTAAGTGAAGCAATATTTCATCCATTAAAGAATATTTTTTTTTCATTTTCTACTGCTTCTTCAGTATTCAGAAGACCTTGACAAAACTTAGAGAGGCACTATACAAACTCATTATTTTGTAACACTTCGCCACAAGGAAGAGGATAAATCTCTACCAATACACTTAGTGCTTCATATCTTTGCTTTTCTTCAATTTTGGAGATGTCTGCCGGTTGCTGTGCATTTTCTCCTTGAGCTTATCCATTGCCTGTCATTTATATGCAAATTATGTGTGTCTGAACTGGTGTGCTGCCGCAGCAGGTCAATGATGAATAAAACAAGACTAGAAGCATAGGGTTATAGCATTGCTGAGGGTTTTACTGGCCATATTGGCAATGATGTGAAGAGTAACACATACTGGGAAATGAATCTTTAAAGGCCGTTGTGTAGTTCTCATGTGGAAACAAGTGCTCACCTGTATTAGATCAAAAGTTTGAACATCCCTTCCTTGTTTTAAAACCAATCATTATCATTTCTCAGTTTAAAAAATAAAGTCCTCGCTCCAAGTACAAGACTAATAAATGATTGAAAACTATGTGCAGATTACATATCTGGGCTGCTGTAGCTTTTTCTTTTATTTTTTCATTATTCAGCCCTTACTGAAAATCAGTGCATTCTCAGCCTTTCCACATAACTTACGACACAGCATTTTGTTTTGAGGCTTTGCTCAGGTATTATATTGTCGCACAGAGAAATAACTTTCAAGTAACCTTCTCCCAAATAGCTGATATAATTTCACTGTCCCACTCAATGAAAAAGGTCTGTGTCTATGGGGTATATCAGGTGTTTTCCACTTGAGGTCTAAGCAAGTTCTGTACGCATGTCACTGGATAAACGGGAATGTTTCCCCTACCACAAAGGGAGACACAAAAAGAAGATAAATGTAAACCTGGCACAGAGCTGATTACCGCTTTTCAAAAGGCAGATTAAAGCTACCAGCAAGAGGATTAACAATAGCAGGAAGGCAGCTGGAAGAAATCAAGAATCCAGTTTATCACAAGCAGCAGCACATGTATTTTATTACTTTTCCTCAGGCCAACCTCAGCAGGGGATGCAGTGCCTAAAATCTAGCACTTGGTTGGCTAATTGGGGAACATGGCCCATAAGAGTTAATGGATTTTGCATAGCAACCACATGGAGAATATAAAAACCATTTGTAACCACCTGAGAAAAATCTTGTCCTCCAGATAAACTCATACCCAAAAATCTGGTCTGTCAGCCTTTTTCTTGTTTTGTATGCTCTTAAACAAATACATTTTCAAATGTGGATGCCTGATTTTTGGCAACTTAATCCCTACTTCAGCTCCTAAATGAACCAGGCTTATTTGCTATTTTAGATTTTTTATCTCCTTTGTTGGAAATTAATTATCATTTTTACCATCTGCTGTGTAAGGACACCTAGTCTCACTATACAGGCAATAAAATGCATTTGGTCCTGCTGTATTGCAGACCTCAGAACAGGAAGATGTGTTATATCTGAAGGAGAAATCTGTCTGTATATCCCCGTGTACATTGGCCAAAACACTGGTCTCAGACCTTGCAAGATTAGTCTCTGATGTTTCACTTAGATTTTCCTTCACTTACCTGCATCTCCTTGCTCAGTGTCATCTTGGTTGATCGTACCAACTTTCCAGCCTCCCTGTGGTAGCTGTCATGCTTACCACAGAGAAGTTAAACAACCATTGATTATTTGACCAGTTCTAAAGAAAGTGTTAAAAATAGCAATGGACCTACCTGATCTCCCCAAATACAGCTCCTGCTCTTAGTGTAACCAGGACTTTTGTACCATCAGGGCCTCCAAGGACTTGAACTTCACCCTGTTTAATGATGTACATCTCTCTGCCAATCTCTCCCTGGGCACACAAACACAAAAAGATCCAATGTTTTAGCAGGGAAGTGTTTTTTTGTTAGAATAATCTGACAAACTATTCTTTAAATATCATTCCACTTTCTCATAAACAAGTTTACCGGTATTAAGGAGAAATAAATGCGCTACTGTCCCTAGCACTGAGCACAAGCACAAGGACTGACTTTAGCAGATCTAATTGTGATGTGGAACAATATTTGAACAGGAGTAAGACCATCCAGGCCAGCTTGGAAAAAGAAGACTAGATAATAATCAGCATTGTAGCAATCATTTCCATCAACTATTCTGGTGGAAACTAAAGTACTTCAGCAGCATATTTAATAACAGAGAAGTGCAAAAAAAGCCTATGCTCCATGGTCTAAAAAGCTTCAGTTTTTACACTATTCTTTCTAATCATCACTCACCTAATTTAAAAGGAAAATAAGAATAAACAATCATTCAAAACTTTGTCTACTTTCATGTAATCACTGGATGGTTTAAGAGATTATTAGTTTATTTATTATCCTTCGCATGATGTACTAGGATTCAAAGCATGACTTCAGTATACACAATAAAAAGCAGGCAAACTGGAGTAATATAATGGACTTCACAAACATGATTATAACAGTCCTCACAACATCTCAGGCAAATAAATATTTTTCTACTCATGCAGCTGGAGTAACTGAGGCAAAGCAGCAGTTTCATTTTAAAAGTGAAAAGGCAACAGCAACGAAGCCAGAAATGAAAATGTAAGGCTTGCACTTCTTATCCCTTCACTTGCACCTCCAAGCCGGCATGTCGGAGCCTCCTTGGAAAAGTACAATGAGGCCAACATACATATCCAAGGAGGAGGTAGTTGCAACAGGGTTTTATTCCCTACTACATGTTACAGCATTAATAGGATTATGATGGTTGTTGGCCACGTAGTAGATCTATACAGGTGAGTGGCCTTTTAGCTCTGAATCAAGCTGGAATAAAATGATACTTCAAATCCATCCTTTTTGAGAACAGTTTGCATCTGACTGCAGGATCAAGACCTTGAATCTGTTACCGTCACTTATTATCTCTGTTGTGGCAGAGTCCCAGCCGCAGTCTAAGATCCTTTCATGCTCTGCATTGTACAAGAAAACACACCAAACTACTCTTCCACCCTTCCTAGCCAACAGAAATTCTAGGATTGGTCTTTGAAGGGACATACCTGATCCTTCAGTGCATTCACAAATGTTTAACTTCCTACACTGTGGAGTCAGTGGGACTAACTCAGCGTTTGGGAAGAGGATCGTATGCTTAACTCTTGGAGGGATGAGGACCTTAGTGAAGATCCTGGACCAGAACTGCTGAAGACAAGTTAAGGGGTTCTGATGGTCACTTCTGGGTGTGGCATGAACTGTGGGTCACTTGCCAGAACAGTTACAGTACTGATACTTCACCCTCCCCCATGCTTTAATTACATCCAACACTGCCTACGAGTATGTTTACATGCCTTTTGAAAAAAGACTTGGGTTCACTTGGTCAGAAGCTGAGCTACCTACCTGCATTACTATAAGGCCATGTTTGAGCCAAAATGCTAAGAGAAGATAGACGGCTTTGCTAAGGGACAGTGTGACAGCATTCAGCTGGAAGTCTGGAGATGGCTCAGAGCTGTGAGTGAAGGTAGAGCAAGATCAGATCCTGCTGTAAGGAGCGGTATGGGATGCAGTGTATTTTCTACATTCTTGGATAATTCCACTTAAGAGTTTCTGAATACACAAATGAAGCACATGCAGAGCATCATAGATTGAGATCTCCAGGCTACGTTTATATGTATATATGTATAAAAAAATTAAGCTTGCTCCATTTTAAATATTAAAACTTCATGATGTATCATTAGATAAGCCATATTTACATTAAGTACTTTCTCATATTACTATAATGTTATGGTTTATATTGTAAGTAATAAAATCCATATTGTCTTGTTCTAGATTGAAACTTGAAGCGCATTTGTTATTACTACACAGAGTACCTTAATTACTTTTATGCTGTCTAATTCACTCAGGATTAATTGTATTTAAAGGACACTGTTGACCGATATCTGAACTCTTTTTCTTAAATACATACTATAATCATTATTTGAAAGAGACAACAATGCTCACCTTTTTGCAGACAAAGTCACCAGGTAAATATACAATGGATTTCAACCTTAGCAGCATGTCATATATCATCTGGGTATCGCACCCCTGTTAAAATAGTTAGAATCAATTGCTCTATTAATTCAGTAACACAAGTGATTATTAGTGCTTACACTGGGCAGCAAAACCCAACAACACATGAATGATCCAGGGATTCATGAGTGGAATGCAAACTCAGAACATCATAAGGATCAGCTTTTAGGGCAGAGAAAAGACTGAAAGAATTGTAATTTCAGATACTTATAAAATTCCCTTTAAGTTGAACATCTCTTCAATTTTTAAAAAGTAACGTTCTGTACATCTAAATTTGGTGTGGAAGCTCAGTTAGTGCTATGTTCACAGCTTTATGGGTCTCTTACATGATTTTTTTTTTACTGATCCAGGGGAGAAAAAAACCAGATCATGTCAAATGTTGGTATGAATCTATGAATTCCATGTCTTCAGCAAATGTGGCAGAAACCGTGAAGATATGTAAAGTTTATACAGAGATATCATGTGATTTTTTTTGTGATTATCCTAACAAACAAATTAGTGTTAAGGTTACTGTATGTCAAGACTACTTCTAAAAATGCAGTGTATCCTTGGTTTTGTTGTCAAAAATCCAGTCTTAAGTACCACATTTAAATTGAATTTCTGGAAAACTATCATGATAACAAAAAAAAAGCTCCTTTGCACAAAAAGTTACTAAAAAGTAGCATTCACTACATCAAACTTATGTTGCCAGAACACATAGCATTAGTGATCTCTCAGGCAGTGCTAGGTGGTATACAACAAGGCAAGGTGAACTGTATTAAAAATTACATTCTTCTATGTCTGACTCCTGAGATTAGTTATACTCTGAAATCACTTACAGTCTGACCATATGTCATCATATGGTGACCACGACACCATAACATCAGCTTTAATATGTTGATACAACAGGACTGTGTCTTAATCTCATTTGCTTTTTTTTTTAATCTCTGCTTTGACACAAAAATTTCAGAGGCAGGCACTTGGCTTTATCCTGACATGTCTCCATTGACCAAAATATTTCTTAGACCTATTTCGCCTTGCATATTGACAAACATTGTTAAGTATTACAAGATGTACAAAACAAGGTTTCTGTCTCAGGAATACCACACATTTCTGCATTCTCCTGTAAAACTACTTGCTTTGAATAAGTCAACTTTATTGACAATGGCAAAGTTCACATCAATTGCAATGGCTAATTGCATTTTGGTTGGCATCTGCTCCAGTAATTCTGATTCATCTGTAAAAGAAAAAAAAAAGCAAACTCTGTTAGAAAGTATAAAAGAAGAATGAAAGAATGTCCATAAAAATAAGTATTGTACAGAAAAATAACTTAATGGAGCTATTCTAGCATTTATGAGTTCAAATGAGGAAGCTGCTAATATGCTTTTACTAAGAAAGTAGTACTTTCTTAGTAGAACTCAAAGAGTTGCGGTCAATGGCTCGATGTCCAAGTGGAGACCAGTGATGAGTGGCGTTCCTCAGGGGTTGGTATTGAGACTGGCGCTGTTTAACATCTTTGTTGGCAACATGGACAGTGGGATCGAGTGTGCCCTCAGCAAGTTTGCCAATGACACCAAGCTGTGTGGTGTGGTCGACATGCCGGAGGGAAGGGATGCCATCCAGAGGGACCCTGACAGGCTTGAGAGGTGGGCCCATGCGAACCTTATGATGTTCAACAAGGCCAAGTGCAAGGTCCTGCACACGGGTTGGGCAATCCCAAGCATAAATACAGGTTGGGTGGAGAATGGATTGAAAGCAGCCCTGAGGAGAAGGAATTGGGGGTGTTGGTTGATGAGAAGCTCAAAATGACCTGGCAATGTGCGTTTGCAGTCCAGAAGGCCAACCGTATCCTGGGCTGCATCAAAAGCAGCGTGACCAGCAGATCGAGGGAGGTGATTCTGCCCCTCTACTCCGCTCTGGTGAGACCACACCTGGAGTACTGTGTTTAGCCCTGGGGCCCCCAACATAAGAAGGACATGGACCTGTT